CCACTTTAGATTTTAAATTCATCATCATTATTAATATTAGGAAGTTATTTCATGTTATTTCCAGCTAAAATACAAAAAGGAAATGACACAGAAGCTGCAAAACATTAATATCTGAAAATCAGATTGATCAAGTAGATTCAATGTTTTTGTGCATATTTTCATTGTTTTTGTTCTTTTAGACTTTATTTAGTCAGATATAATGTTTAAAATGTTCCAAACGAGGAAGCAAATAATACATTTTTGATCTAAATTATACTGGAGAAAGTATCAATTCCCCTGGTTTTGAGCACATTCTCTTTTTATTTATTAATTTATTCGCTTCACTTTTGTTTTTTTCGCTTTATTTTTATGTTTTTATTATTTTTCCTTAATTTAACAATTTACTTTGATCATTTTTTTAGTTTCATTTTATTGTTCTCTTGATTTCTTTGCACTTGTATGTTTATCATTAGAATTTGGGATCCATTTTTCCTTTTTTCTTTATTTTTTCAACAGCTCTGTTACTGTTTATTGCATATATTTAATTTAATGTCATTAGAGACCAGCACAGTTAATTCAAAGAAGTGATGAGATACAAAATTTTCTATAAAAATGAAAAGCTTACTTCCCAGTCATTTCCTGTAACACGAGATATTTTTATTTTAAGATAACCAAGCTTATTTGATCTAAAAACGTGGAGAAAAGTTTCTCTTATATTTTTCTTTGAGATACTTTGAAATGTAAAATATATTTTCAGAGATTTGCATTGTTTTCATTAGCAAAACCTCCTTTGTTGATAGGAACATAACTTGATAATTGAATAATTAAAAACATGCTGCTATTAGGCCTCTGATTGCAGCTGAAATTAGTTAAACTCCTTCAAATGAGCATAAATATAAAGCAATTATTAGCCTTCAGTTCTTATTTTAACAAACAAAACATCCTCATTTCTTTTTATTTTCCCATCTGTGAGGATTTCTGTTTTTCTGCAAGGAATTCAAATGTATTTTCAGAAGATGAGAAAACAGAACAAGGGTTTTGATGAATGAATATACATTGATAAAACATATTATTGTAGCAAATTGTCACAGTTAAGCTGGGAGTTTACATCTAATACTTTTAATATCATAGTTGACTGGAATAAAATCACCTCACAATACATCTGACTAAGTATATTTGTTTTTCCAAAGCGGTTTGTGAAACCTGAGGATCAGCATCACGACGTCTCTGGAAACAGATTGATTTTATCAGCGACTCACCGATCGATGAAGAGGAGCGATGGCGGCTGCAGACTGAGAGGAAGAGTTGAGGCTGAGTAACATCAACTCATTAGGGGCTGACAGGTTTAACTGCGACCCCCACCACGCTGCATGGGGCAGTAACCCTTTAACTCCCTTCAGCTGGATGTTCAGACCTTCACTTTTCATCATTTCATAACGATTCACTGCAACTTTTCTTCTCGTTCTTTTACCAAACATGTCACCGTTTTGCTTTTTTCCACTTATCCAGCCGCTTCGATTCATAAAGGGAACCTGAGTAAATATAAAGAAGCTGTTTTCAATTTATTTATCAAGGGGAAAAAAACCAAACCAACATGACTCTGGGAAAGTATCGAAACACAAAGTTTTACATTTTGGTCCCATTTCTAGTGAAAATCTCTCAGCACACATGAAATAAGACTAAACTAATTTACAAGTAACTTTTCAGCAGCATATCAGAGCTTAAGACATTAATTCTTAATGTTGATGAAAAAGTACTAGCTCCACAGGCAAATTATGAAAAAATGTCTTTTTATGAATAATCTGCCAGTGGAACTAATATGTTTTATTAACATAAAACAAGACCCAGTTCTTGCTGAAATCTTGTCGATACATTACAAAAAGGCTAATAGTTTATAAAGTTACCCGTTCATCTATGAACACTTTATAATTCATTAATAACTGTTAATTACACATTAATTAAGGGTGAGAAGGAGACCATATACTAGATAAAATAAATAGGTGAACAGACTATTGATCAAGAAAGCGGTAGATTTTGTCTCCTCTGTAAAACTGGCTGACCAAATGTGCTGGAGCTCCACTTTTGTTGCTAGGTAATGGGTGGAACTCTGCTGGGGTTGCTAGGCAACAGTTCATGGAACGCCTCAATCAACCAGAAAAAAACAGAATAAATTTTAATTTTTAGTTTATTAATGATTGACAAGCAGTTTGGAGCAAAAATAAGAATGATAAAAAAGGTAAAACAAAACAGTCGCAGTAACCGCGTCGTCGATGCGTCACATTTAGTTCCCAGTTCTGGTGAGGAATCTACTCTGGGTTTAATGCCAGACAGTAAAACTCTGAACTTACTGCAGGAGAAAACTCAAGGCAGTGGGTGGAGGTTACTGGAAATATAATGAATCACACATTGAACAACAAATCAGCCTCATCATGTAAAGGTAGTATTTACAGACGTCCTGCGCACATTAAGAAGAAAAGATTTCACCAAACGATGCAACTGTTTTAGTTCACGTCTTCTTCTACTGACTGATTAATTAGTGAGGCAGGTTTCATCATGCAGCTTTTCTCCCAGCTGAACAGCCGTTTTGTTCCGAGATAAAACCTGCACAAGTGAAACTTTCAGATATGTGGGATCCAACATAAATATGACAGATTTATTTACTATATATCATCAATCTTACAGAGGTACATAAATATAACTATTTACAAAACACACAAACTATACATTCCTGCACCCTAAACACATCTTTGTAGAAATGTGCAGCAACTTTTAATTGTTTCCAACTATAATCCCCAGGATTGTGCGAAGTGATGTTTTCAGTGGTGCTTTGGTGACACTAATGTCATTAAAATGTGAATTTTTGCAATTGTTTGTGGACAGATCAGGTGAATTTGTTGACAAAATCCTTAAAATTAGAAGCTTGGACCCTTTAAAACTAATCTAAACTTACAGATTTTAACAGCAAAACAAGCAAAATCTTAATGTTCTGCAAATATTTAAGGAAGAGTGAATCTACAAAGCTGTTTAAAAGTTAAAACTTTTAAACAATGGGAGTCTTTTTAACTCAAACTGGTTAAACTGGAGCCAACAACCAAACAGATGGTCATCAAAACCAGACAATTTCCCTCTGGCTCAAAATGAAGACGAGAACAACATGGAAAGAAAACTGGTCATTTTACTCTTTGATGAACGGAGTAAAACCAGAAATTCCCACTATTTTTAAGTCCTTAAATGGATCATTAAACAATGTGCACAGAAAATGGGAATTATTCGTTTTTGGTCGGATTTTTAACTTTTATTTTTGGCCAACAAACCTACAGCATATTTTATTCATTTTTATGCTGTTTTTGAAAAATATATTTGTAATATTTCTTAGAAAGAAAAAAAAAACTCAAACAGACCTTAATGCAAAAACCCCCAAAACAATAAGGATTTTTTTTTTGCTGGTATATTTTAATTAATGCATCCCAATTTATTGTAGAAATCTTGGCTTTCATACCATCAAATAGTATCGACACTCTGCAAAAACAAAAACTCTTACTTATGAAGTTTCTAGTGCAAATGTCTAAATTCACTTGGAAGAAATAAAACTACTTTACAAGCAGCGTTTCAGAAATATATAAGAGCTTGTTTTAAATCAATAGTTCTGTAATACTGATGAAGAAGTGCTATTTGATTATTTCACTCAAATATGGGAAAAATGTTTATATCGGTAAAATAATCTGCAAGTTGAACTGTTACTTTTTCATCAATATTAAGAAATTATTGACTTAAAAAGGCTCCTTTTTTTTTTGCTGAAAAGTTACTTTGTAAGTTAGTTTTATCTTATTTTTTTATCTTTTGAATTTTGATGGTAATGAGCTCCAAGTCATTTCAAGTTAGAAATTTGGATTTAAGCAGAAAAAATATATTTAAAAGCTCCAGAAGGTGGTTAATTGAAGGTTTAAGGTCTGTGTTGTAGACAGTTTTGTGTGTGAAGATTACAAGCTTCCTTGTTTAAAACGAGACACTCAGCGAACTGATGGACAAGATGTTATATTGCTAAATCTCTCCTTTCAAGTGTTTATAAGTTAGATAGAATTTATTCCTCTGATTATCAAGCATCAAAGTTTAAGTGCTGGACTTTCCCATGTTTTATAATCCATTGCAACTAGAAATTTGCCGTTCAAATATTTCTTTGTTTTTAGCACCACAACGTTGCTGCATTATATGTGTAGAAAACCTTATATAACAAGGGATTATTACTTCATATCTAGTGTACATCATGAACTCGCAGCCCCGTTTCCATGGGAGCTGCACATCAAGCTGCTCTAAACAACATCAGGACAAAACGAACTCTTTGTTCATCGAGGGAGCACAGCCTGTATTGCACATGTTAGTGAAGTCTGCAGGAAGCAGCTGGCCGATGCGGCCGGCGTCAGGCTGCAGGCTGCGGCCGGCGTCAGGCTGCAGGCTGCGGCCGGCGCGTCAGGCTGCAGCCGGCGTCAGGCTGCAGGCTGCGGCCGGCGTCAGGCTGCAGGCTGCGGCCGGCGTCAGGCTGCAGGCTGCGGCCGGCGCGTCAGGCTGCAGCCGGCGTCAGGCTGCAGGCTGCGGCCGGCGTCAGGCTGCAGGCTGC